GATATCACACACACACACACACACACACACACACACACACACACACACACACACACACACACACTTACCTCTCGTGACCCCTCGTGTGACCTGTGCTCTATTAGGCTCCTGTCACTGCATCAAAAGTGTTCGACCCCGTGCACATGACAAACGGTGAGACACGTTCAGCACTGGCACACGCATCGATGTTCTGGCACGCGCTTAACACACGCACACACACACACACATCAGACGCAAACAGACTTTCAGTCAAATATTTACACAGACACAGAGTTCAGAGGCTGTAATTCTGTCAAACACTGCTGGCGTTGATATGTTAATCAGTCTCGTTCATGTTCGCTGCTCTCTGTACATTTGTTTTTCTTATCTTTTCTTTGTTTCGCTGTTGGACTGATCTTCTCGCTGAGTTTATCTGACTGGGTTTGAGTCTGTATCTCGCCTCTCGTTTCTCCGCAGTGAACCATGTCAAGTTCCCGCGGCAGGAGGACTCGTACGCGTTTGAGGAGGACAGCAGCAGTGAGAGTCTGTCTCCAGATCAGCCACACAGTGAAGAGTCGCAGTGTTCGGCTGAAGCACTTACAGAGAACAAGACATCACAATTAAAAGAACCAAAGACTTAAACTACTTCAGTCTGTGTGCATTGAATTTATTCAATACACGAGTCTCACAATTTGAGTTGAATTACTGAAATAAATGAACCTTTCCATGACATTCTAATTTATTGAGATGCACCTGTATATATATATATATATATACCACTGGTAATAAATATAAATACACTATTAGTCAAAAGTTTGAAATTAAGATTTTTGAATGTTTTTGGAAGAAGTCTCTTCTGCTCACCAAAGATGCATTTATTTGATCAAAAATACAGTAAAGAAGTGAAATATTATTACAATTTAAAATAACAGTTTTCTATTTTCAATTATTCAATTTATTATTCATCCCGCGGCAGGAGGACTCGTACGCGTTTGAGGAGGACAGCAGCAGTGAGAGTCTGTCTCCAGATCAGCCACACAGTGAAGAGTCGCAGTGTTCGGCTGAAGCACTTACAGAGAACAAGAGCAGCGGCTCGAGCTCACCGACACTCACCAACACCGAGCATGTGAGTCGCCCCGTACAAAACACAGCAAGCACAATCAGGAATAAAAAGCAATATATATTAAAACAAAAGTTTGATTTATTTATATATTGCTTCTTTGCCCATAAATACAAACACAAAAAAAAATTTAAACAATACATTTCTGATTATTATCAATGCTGAAAACAGTCGTGCTGCTGAATATTTTTGTGGAAACTGTGATACATTTTATTTTTCAGGATTCTTTTTTAATGAATAGAACGTTTAAAAGAACAGCATTTATTTGAAATAGAAATCATTAGGAACATTATAAATGTCTTTACTGTCACGTTTGGTCAATTTAACGCATCCTTTTTGAGTGTCACAATTGCAAAAAAAATGTAAATAAAATAAAATTAAAATAAATTTTTTTTAAAGAAATTGTATTTTAATAAATCATAAATATATTCACATAGAAAACAGTTATTTGAAATTGTAATAATGTCTCACTGTTTTTACTGTATTTCCAATCAAATAAATGCAGCCTTGGTGAGCAGAAGCGACTTTTTTCAAAAACGTTAATTTTTTTAAATTATAATTATATACTGTAAGTCTAATCAATTAAATTAAATTTAAATAAATAAATGAGCTGAAGACTGAATGCACTCCTGACTGCTGAGTGAGTGAGTGAGTGAGTCTATATGTGATTTATGTGATGTTAGTCGTGTGTTTTAGTGTTCTGCCCCCTGTGGTGATCCGGTGAACTGCAGTGTTCTGCTCTGGCTCTGGAGGAGCCGTTATTTTCTGACAGCTCTTTGACTCTGAGCCCAGATCAGCATGCCAGCGTGTTTCTTACACACTCAGAAGTGTATTGTACTCTCTGCTGTTCCAGCGTTGCTCCAGGCTTCAGAATGATTGCCCTCTGGCAGCAAGAGTAATAAACCATGGGCTGAAGCTGTCAGGGACCTGGCATCAAATCCTCATGACCTATCGCTCAGATCACGTGGAGCAGAAGCGTGTACAACTTAAGAATATTTATTTAAGCTTTGTGGCTTGCGAAAGTTGTAAATTATGTACATGTTTAATAATAATCACCTTGTGCATGGGTTTTTTTTTTACGTAAAGTACTTGGGAAATATAAACAATGTCTTATAAACAGTGTCACCTGGATATGAACTTATGGAAAGGTTTGGAGTTTGCAGAAAGAAGAAATTATTTCTATGTAATTCCATTTATTTAACCCTTAGTTTACTGTATCATGTTTGATATACAGACATTTCTAAGGCTCTATGATCAAACTTTGCTGTTAAAGCTGTTGCACACAATCTACTACACCCTTCTGATTCGTCTGATTGATAGTTTATAGTTTTTTTTATCAATTAAAAGCTCTTTTAGTGTAATTGTACAAACGTCCACCTTCAGCTCGTGCTTCATGTGTCTTTCTGCTGTCAAATCTTTACTGATTTTTATCAAATAAACATAAAAATAACTCTAGTAATATTTCCAGATGAACACTTACTGGACTGAAGCAACTCAGCTTTACTTGATTCTCCATCAATCATTTTTTAGAAAAATCAATGAGTGTCTGATCATCAGAATCATTTGAGGAACGTTTGTTTCCAGAAGCTTTACTTTCACTGTCCCTCAGTGGAGGAATGATCTTCCCAAGCCTCCAAAATATCTCAGGTCTTTTGAGGAAAGTTTATTTAATAAATTGCATATTGCATTTTGCTTAGTTTGAGTCTCTGAATAAAATTCAGCTGTTTTTCCTCCATATTATTACTATATCACACTATAAGAGCCATAAAAGCCTGATGGATCAAATTTTATACAAAACATAATCAAAATTTTAATCAAACTCAAATAGGCCAAAGGTTCAATAAACTGACTTTTTTTTTTTTTTACTATTATTTCAAACATCAGGCTTTACAGGCCATGACAATCAGTTGATATTAATGATTTAATGACAGTTTATTAATTTGATTGTTATTCAGGGGTCTCAGAGCAAAGACGGCAGCACTCAAAACCAGGAGGAGAACATGACAAACAGCCAGGAAACTCCACCCATTCCCGTTCCTGCAATAGTCAAGGTATGACTAAACATCTCGTCCATTTCAAATCACTAAACACGAAGCAGACGATAATAAGTTATTGTAATGCTAACTCACATAAATCTGATATCAGCTCATTTCATGAAGTTTTTCGATTCCTCTGCAGTCCAAAATGTCTGAGAAGAACCGCCACAAGAAACCCAAAGACATCAAGCCTAAAGTAAAGAAGCTGAAGTACCACCAGTACATCCCGCCGGACCAGAAGGCAGAGAAATCTCCTCCGCCGCAGATGGACTCGGCCTATGCGCGTCTCCTGCAGCAGCAGCAGCTCTTCCTGCAGCTGCAGATCCTCAGCCAGCAGAAACACCAGCAGAACTCCCATCCACATCAGCAGCAGAGCTTCAGCTACCAGACCCTCAACCAGAGCACGCTCAACAAGTGAGTCCAGCACTGCCAAAAAGTGTCTTTCAAAAGATGGGGAATACATACATATACCTCATGTCTTAACATGTCCTGATTATATACATACACTCAGTTCATTGACTGAAGATGTTTTGGCACCTTCACTTGTTTTTTTACGTTTACATTTAGTCATTTAGCAGATGCTTTTATCCAAAGCGATTTACAAATGAGGACAACAGAAGCAATCAAAACCAACAAAAGAGCTATAATAAGCAAGTGCTATGACTAGTCTCGGTTAGCCTAACGCAGTATGCAAGGTTTTATATATATATATGTAATAAATAAAAATAAAACAAATAGATAAAATAGAATCAGAATAGAGAGTGCTAGAGTTAGAGGGTCAAATAAAGATGGAAGTTTTGAGGAATTTTTTTACTATGAAAGTTTCCTCGGATTAAGAGTGGAAATCTGTTCTGCTTCATTGACTTTTTGAGTTTATTTTTTGAGTTTACACACCTGACCTTTCAGTCTTTACCAACCCCAAGCATTTGAATAATAGCGTGTCTATATGAGGTCAGTAAGATACAAAAACAAAAACAAAAAAAAACTTTTATTTATCAAGGATGCATTAAAGGGTTAGTTCACCCAAAAATGAAAATTCTGTCATTAATTACTCACCCTCGTGTTGTTCGAAACCTGTAAGACCTTCGTTCATCTTCGGAACACAATTTAAGATATTTTTGATGAAATCTGAGGGCTCTCTGGCTCTCCCATAGACAGCAAGGTAACTACCACGTTCAAGGTCCAGAAAAGTACCAAGATGATCGACAGAGTAGTCCGTGTGACATCAGTGGTTCAACTGTAAAGTTACGAAGCTACGAGAATACTTTTTTTGCGCAAAGAAAACAAAAATAACGACTTTATTCCACAAGTGACGCAGTAGAGATGAAAATGTGGAATAAAGTCGTTATTTTTGTTTTCTTTGCGCAAAAAAGTATTCTGTTATTTTGAACTTTCTATTCAGCAAAGAATCATGAAAAATAAAATATATGATGGTTTCCACGAACATGTTTGGCAGCACAACTGTGTTTAACGTAATAATAATAATAATATTGTTTCTTGAGCAGCAAATCAGCATATCAGAATGATTTCTGAAGGATCATGTGACACTGAAGACTGGAGTAATGATGCTGAAAATTCAGCTTTGATCACAGCAATAAATTACTTTTTAACATATTCACATAGAAAAGTTATTTTTACACTGTAATAATATTTCACAATTTTACTGGGTTTTTTTTACTGTATTTTTGATCAAATAAATGCAGCCTTGATGAGCAGAAGAGCCTCAAAATCTTACAGACCCCAAATGTTTGAACAGAAGTATATATAAAAATGTTTTCAAAATTCCATTTTAATGCCATTTTTATTCATTATTTAGGCAGTTTTCTGATCATGAGAAGCATAATTGTGTGTTTGTGTGTGTGACAGGGCGTCCGGTGAACAGCAGTCATCATGTGCGTCCAGCATCCAGACCAGCAGCAGCTCCTCGTCTCCAGTGAAGAGCAGCTACTGCAACCCGTCCATCAGCCCCGTCAGACCCGGACCGCTGCCCGCCAACCTGGACGACCTGAAGGTCAGTGCCGCGCTTTGACACGTCACGTCATGGTGCGATGAAGGGGTTAAAGATCTGGACTGGAAACCAGAAGCTTGTAGATTTTAAAGAGGAAGGTGTGTGTCAACACTACAGGTCTCACTAATGGGTATCAGCGTACCAAACCAGCTGATTAATCACAGTACATTCAGACAAATGTCTTGTATTAAAAGATTTCTGCAATGTTAGGTTTAAATATGCAAATGAGGCATTGTCTCATTAAATGTGCGCCTAAATTTCCACAACATAAATCTGATTGGATAAATTCATGTTCAAAATTCTGGTTTTGAGTTTGTTGACATATTAAGAGTTCAAAACCCCAAACTGACCAGTGCATGAAAAAACACTATAGGTTTGCAAATACACATCATCTGTTTTTTACACTTGTTTTTTAAGATCTATAATTATTTAAATTTTTTGTTTTACATGTTTATGCAAGTAAAATTTAAAATTTGAGCAGTCATGAATTATAAACAAAGGCATTTATTTAAATCCTATTCGTTCCAATGGATTTATTCCTGGTCATTTTAAGATTATATGCTCTTATAATTTTCATACAATGATATATTCATATGTATATTCCTCAACATCATAGAAAAAAAAGGTGTGCTCATGTGTAATTTGAAATTTCAAAGAATTTCTAAATGTTTTTACTTAATAAAAGATGGCTAAAACCAGTAATAACATGGTAATAACATTCAAAGATGCAATATGATTTTAATTGAAAATGAATAGTTATGACTCACTGGGTCTTATTTGGGTCCAAACGTACCCAGAATGTGAAAACATTATGCAAATTTGAAATGCATTATGAGGATTAAACATTTAACGCAGCAACTAAAGTTTTTAATTTGAGCTAGTTGGAACTGTTTGCCTGACTGTTTTGTATGTTGCCAGGTGTCTGAACTCAGGCAGCAGCTGCGGATCCGCGGTCTGCCGGTGTCTGGCACTAAGACGGCGCTCATAGAGCGTCTGCGGCCCTTCAAAGACTCTTCTCCGGCCACTTCTGCAGACGTCAGCACAGCCGCATTCCCCGTGACGCCCACTGGATCGCTCTCGTCCTACCAGTCGCACGGCGCCGGCTTCTACCCGTTCTGCAGCAGCGGCTCCACACCACCCATCTCTCCGGCCTCGTCCGATCTCTCCGTCAGCGGCTCGCTGCCCGACAGCTTCAGCGACGTCACCATGTCCTCGCCGCAGTTCGGCCTGCAGCCGTCGCCGGCCCAGCTGAGCGCAGACGAGGGCCAGAGCGCACTGGGACCGGACGCCGAGAAGGACAAGATGCTGGTGGAGAAGCAGAAGGTGATCGAGGAGCTGACGTGGAAGCTGCACCAGGAGCAGAGGCAGGTGGAGGAGCTGCGCATGCAGCTGCACAAGAGGAAGCGCATGCAGGACTGTCCCGCTCCGCCGCAGCACATGATGCATCTGCAGCCTCCTGCGCAGATGCAGCAGTTCTACGGCGTGTCCGTCAAGCAGGAGCAGGTGGCGTCCAGCTGTCCTCTGGCTGCCAAGCAGATGAAAGGCGGCTGCATGGCTCACTGCGATCTGCACGCTGCGCCGCACTGCAGGGGGCCGCCATCATCTGCAAGCCCCGCCGGCCTGTCTGCATTCCTGAGCCCTCAGTGTTCTCCTGAAGAGTCACCCCTCACCAAACCCTCCAGCAGCCCCTCGTCCCCCGGCCAGCCGTACCTGCTGAGAGACTCGCACACGCTGCCTCAGAGCGCAAGCAGAGCCGCACGCAACATACAGGTGATCCACGGCACATGCACACGTCTGTCAAGTCAAATTGATTTCTATAGCAGTTTATACAATACAGCTTTAGTTATAGACAAGAAAACAGTGATTCAGTGATGCGAACAATTCATCTGTTCATTCATTCACAACACGATTATTATAGTTAGTTCCAACTAAAACCATAAATACGTTTTCATTACTTGAAATAAAATAAATCTTAACTGAAATAAAACAAAATATAGAACACATTAAACTTATTTTATATCAGTGAGTTTCCAAAGCAACATTTTTCATTTTCTTTCAGTTTAACGTAATGTACTTAAATATCGAAAACTAAAATTGAAATAAAAACTATATGGACATATTTGAAAACAATTGATATTTTTGGGTGGAAAAAATAACTAAATACAATAAAAATACAATGCAATAGTTTTTTTATTATTAAAATTCTATTTAAAAGAAATGCTTATTATTTGACAAAATTTTGTTTGCTAAATATGTCATGACTGACATAAGCAGAAAATAATATCATAGAGATTATTATATACGTTATTATACCTATAGGCAAGGTTAGTTCAGGTTGTAAAATGTCATGTGGTGCAAAAATGTAATGGTATTTATGAATTAATATTTTAATTTTATATTTTTTATATAAATGTAATTATTTAAATATATTTTTATGATATCTGTAAAAATACTTTTATTTTAAAAATGCATTTATGTACATATAAAATACTTTGTATAGTTAATAATAATAATAAAATCAGTGTGTATTTTTACAAATATTTAAGATTTAGGAGTATAACTTTCTGGAACTTAACGACATTTATCAATTAATATTATGATTTCATATTATTCATATTTATTTTTGTTATTTAAACATTTTGATAATTTTTAAAAACTTTTATCTTGACAAATTTTTAAAGGTGTGTACTTTCACACGAGTTGAAGATTTAGGGAATTTTTTTATTTTTTACGTAATACTTGCGCAACATGACATTTTATGTCATTAGATTTAATATAGATTTAACTTATTTGTACAGCACTTTTCACAATGTACAGTTTTAAAGCAGCTTTACATGAATGTTAATGGTTATAATATCTTAATATTATGCCTCATAGTCACATTTATCAGATTAGAGGTAAACGATAATATACAGTAGTCACATTTTGCAACAATACAAGAAATCAGGCACAGTATGTATGTGGATAGAGTCGAATATTCTTCCATATACAACTTTATATAAAGAGCTGAACAATATTATAGTTAGAATTTGCCCCAAAAAGAAAAAAAAGTTTTTAACAATCATATTTAACATGAAGAGTACTTGGAAGCTGGAATTTGTGAAAGATTCTTCCTTTTCTTCATCCTGGACACTGATGTTTGTTTCTCGATTCAGTGACTAACGGCTGAAATCTCTGTTACAGCAGAAGAGCACGGGACAGACGGGGAGCTGCTCGTATCCGTCAGATCAGAGAAACCTGCAGCCGCTTTACCATCAGAATCCATCAGACAACAACCTCAGCGCCAGAGGATCCACCAAAGCCAAGAGCAGCGGCATGCAGCAGAAAGTACGTGAAGAATCAAACTCAACTCATCCAATTCATCACTCACAAAAACTCACAGCAGAACATCACACATTCTGATCGGCTGCTGTAACAGTAAGTCTCAATTCCACTGGGCTTCTGTTAAAAGAGTATCAATCATGCGTCTCAATCAATGAACACAAACGGTAAAAAGTTTGGAATAATTAGGATTTTTTTATATTTTTGGAAGAAGTCTCTTCTGCGCATCAAGGCTGCATTTATTTGATCAAAAATACAGTAAATACTGTAATATTGTGAAATATTTTTACAATATAAAATAGATGAATTCTACATGTAAAATGTCATTTATTCCTGTGATCAATGCTGAATTTTCATACATTACCATTCAAAAGTTTGGGGTCATTTAAAAGCTTTGGTGTTTTATGAATGGTTGAGCAGGGCCCTGAGGTGCTGTTTGCTCATGTGCATCTCTGCATGTCTCTGTTTGTGTGATTAGTTCGGGTGCTCACTTTAATTCTTACTGACTGCCAAAGGACACTGGCCACCGAACACACACACACACACACACACACTGATCAGAGAGCTGGGCTCCTCTGGCTCCTCAGAGGTGTAACGTTTGGCCCTGTCTCCTGTAGGAGGCTCTGTCTCTCTCTCCGCGGCACGTTGAGCCCAAGTCTCCCACATCCAGCACTGCCTTCTGTAGCTCAGATCCCCCTGCCTCCGGCAGTAAAGGGCCGCCGTGTTATGAGGATGCAGTGAAACAGGTAAAGCAGCTCAGGATCCGCTCTCACGCTGCTCACGCTCTCAGAGCTTCTGCCTGCGTCTCTACAGCTTTACTGACTGCGTGGAGACGTACAGCGCTGCATCAGTGTACTGCAGGGATTCCCAAACGCTTCTGTCAGACTAATTATTAAGAAGTATTATTGTTATTATTAAGTATTACAGGTAACTATTATTAAATTATTAAATATATTTGAAAAAAAATAATTACAATTATTATTATTTTTATTTTGACTCTACATTTGGATTTTGAAGTGAACTCCAACCTCTTTTTAGTTTAACATTACAGTCACCTTGCAAAAATATGAAGCAGCACAACTGTTTTCAACACTGATAATAATCAGAAATGTTTCTTGAGTAGCAAATCAGCATATTAGAATGATTTCTGACGGATCATGTGACACTGAAGACTGGAGTAATGATGCTGACAATTCAGATTTGATCACAGCAATAAATTACCTTTTAACATATATTCACATGGACAAGTTATTTTAAATTGCAATAATATTTCACAGTTTTTACTGTATTTTTTGATCAAATTAATGCAGCCTTAGTGAGCGGACAGGACTTCTTTCACAAACATTAAAAACTCTTCATAACTCCTAATGTTTGGCTGGTCGTGTGAGATTGTTTAATCACATGTGCTGCTCAATGATCATGTGACGTCAGCACATGCCTACACACATGGATGATTATTGTCACTGGGTCAGAGGTCAGAGGTCATGCCGAGGAAGCGTCTGATAGATTCGGTGCCACCGAACACACACACACACACACACACACTGATCAGAGAGCTGGGCTCCTCTGGCTCCTCAGAGGTGTAACGTTTGGCCCTGTCTCCTGTAGGAGGCTCTGTCTCTCTCTCCGCGGCACGTTGAGCCCAAGTCTCCCACATCCAGCACTGCCTTCTGTAGCTCAGATCCCCCTGCCTCCGGCAGTAAAGGGCCGCCGTGTTATGAGGATGCAGTGAAACAGGTAAAGCAGCTCAGGATACGCTCTCACGCTGCTCACGCTCTCAGAGCTTCTGCCTGCGTCTCTACAGCTTTACTGACTGCGTGGAGACGTACAGCGCTGCATCAGTGTACTGCAGGGATTCCCAAACGCTTCTGTCAGACTAATTATTAAGAAGTATTATTGTTATTATTAAGTATTACAGGTAACTATTATTAAATTATTAAATATATTTGAAAAAAAATAATTACAATTATTATTATTTTTATTTTGACTCTACATTTGGATTTTGAAGTGAACTCCAACCTCTTTTTAGTTTAACATTACAGTCACCTTGGTGTTTTAGGAACCCAGTATATTGAATAATAATAATAATAAATATAAAATGTTATATATTAAAAATATTATTCTATCAATATATATTAAAAATATTATAATAAAATAAATTATTATTATTAGATATTTATAATTTTAAGTAATTATAAAAATGTATAATGCTGCACTTTTTCCTAGTTGTGACAGTAATTCAGTCAACTTTATATTCACACTGGTGCTTTAGGAACTCAAGCTAATTTAATAATAATATTTATTATTATTATTATCATTATTGTTGTTGTTTAAACTGTAACTATATATAAATATTAAAAATATTACTATAAATAAAATATATTACTGTTGTAAATTACAGTGATTATAATAATAACAATTTGATTTTACGCTACAAGTTGTAATAGTGATATTAATGAAACGCTGTAAACTTCTGTCCACAAAAATGTTGGAAATGATCTGATTGTGTGAATAAAGCTAGCACATATTGCGTTCCCTGATGCATGCTACATTTATATAGTGATGGAGTTCAGTGCATTTACTGTGAGATGCTGAAAACACCGGATGGCATGAACACGGTGCTGCACTACACTCAGAATATGCAGATATTGAATTAAATCCCTGACTTTGATTTGATAATCACTCTGATTATCGTGCAGCCTCATTGATTTATTTTAATTTTACATATAATATGAGCAGTTATTAGCTGCTCATATTATTACTATTAAAACTAATTGTTATTAGTTTTATCAACCCACGATCTCAGTTTGGGAAACCCTGCTGTACTTTTTAGTGATTGTTGTCCTTGAAACCGCCTGCAAAAACAAGCATTTGCCAACAAGTCTAAGCGTAACCAGCTCCAGTACACGCGTTTGAATGCCGTCAGCTACAAAATCTGTTCATACATCTAACACTCTTAACCCTCGTAATGCATTCAAAATCTGTATACTGTTTTCACATTCCATGTGTTTGTTCCCAAATAATTATTTTATAGAACTAAACTAAAACCATAGCATATCCGATTTAAATTTCTCATTAATGAATGAATGTTAAAAACAAGCAAACAAAAATCAGCATTTTGACTGTTATTACCATGTTACGATTGCATTTACCCTTTTTTATAAGAAAAAAAAAAGAAATTATTTGAAATGTCAAATGAACCACACACACACAAAAAAACATATGTATGAGAAACCAGGATTACCAGCATTAACCCCATTGGAATGGATAGAATTTTATTAAATTCCTTTAAATTATAACTCATGATTACTCAAAAACAGTCCAAATTTATGACCGCTACATATTTATTTATATAAAAACAACATATTACTCTCAAAAGTTTTCAAACTAAAACTAATTTTACTTAAACTTTCATTTTCAGATGAAAAAAAAAAGCTAATTTTCATGCTGCAGTGGTTCATTAATAGACGTACATATACAGGTTTAGCAACAAAATTCAGTGAGATGTGGGAAAAAAAGCTAAATATATTTTACAAAAGTTTTTAGACACTAACACAACCTCATAAATAATTTTACAAGTATTTTTGGCACTGCTGGTACTCCATACATGCCCGGGCAAAAATGAACCAAACATGAAACTCTTAAAAAATCTGAAACGACTAAATGCTGTGTATTTTGAGGGTCTTAAAGCCTTTGAAAAATGTAGTTCCCTTAGTAAAAACTGCTTATTTTGTATGCATCTCTTCCGTGCCAAAATGGACCCGAGTGCATTATGAGGGTTAAAGCAAAGGCATGGAATATGTCACAAATGTGTTGACAGCATCAAATACTAACACAATTAAATGATCCTGTGATGTTCTTGCAGCAGATGTCGCGCAGCCAGCAGATGGATGAGCTTCTAGACGTCCTCATCGAGAGCGGAGGTGAGTCTCTCCTCATCAGCTTTTGAATTTTGTCATTATTTACTCACTCTCATGTTGTTCCAAACCTGTAGGAGTTTCTTTCTTCTTCTGAACACAAAAGAAGATATTTTGAAGAATGTTGGTAACCGAACAGTTGATGGTAGCCATTGATGTCCATATTTTTATTTTTTATACTGTGGAAGTCAATTGGCACCAGAAACTGTTTGGCGTCCAACATTCTTCAAAATACCTTCTATACTGCAGATTTGGAACAACTTGATGGTGAATAAATGATGACAGAATTTTCATTTTTGGGTGAACTATCCCTTTAGCCCTAAATGAAACGTTCACAAGGCCCCTCATTTCACACAGTAACACCCAGCTGTTATTGACTATTAAAGTCACTCTTTGTGCTGTCATTGTCTTGTTTTAAAGAAATGCCTGCTAACGCCAAAGAAGAGAGGTTTCCTGTAACCAAAGTTGTGCCTCACCTTACAGTTTCGCCCAAGTTCCACCGACACTACAGTCACATGTCGCCCTCCATGCTCGCTTACGATCACGCGGCGGCTCACGGAGATGCTCATCTGGAGGTGCTGCTGAGTCCCATGAGCCGGACGCAAGGAGACGCAGCGCTCCTGAAGATGCCCGCCGAGGACGGACGCTTGGAGGCAGGCGATGGATTCAACAGCCGCGACATGATGGACACGCCCGTATCGCCCACGGCCGGAAAGATCTCCGCGGTTGCTGCCGAGGGTCACGGCCTCGGAATGACCTTCGCGGAGTCGCCGTGGGAGACAATGGAATGGCTGGATCTGACTCCGCCCAGCTCCGCCACCGCCTTCCACAACGGCCTGCCTCCGTCCGGGCCGAGCATCTTCAACACAGAGTTCCTGGATGTGACCGACATCAGCCTGAACTCGGCCATGGACCTGCACCTGGAGCACTGGTGAGGAGAAACATCACGTCCACACCCAGATCTCCAGATCCAATGTTTGATACTGTTTTATCACGTTCCATCAAAACTTGAATTGTTTTGTCTGTGGATTCTGGCAAAGAGTGTTTTGATTACTGGAAACAGAAAGATGCTCCAAATGGAATTGGATTCAAACCGAGACGTCCGTACCATCCACTTAACACTTCTTTATTTTGTCTGCACATTTGTGGTGTGGGAAAAACACATATTAATGCATCACACTAGTATATCACGTGTACTCTCTTGTGCTGTTGTAAATATTAATTCACACTTGCACCTTGAGCTTACAGTAGGATGTCACACTTTTTATGAGCATTTCATTCTTTCCTGTCATCTTCATGCTATTAATTTATTTTGAGAGCACAAACATTTGGTTTTTACACGTGATACGGAAGACTGTTTCCGTCATGGGATAAAAAATAACGGTAATTGCGTCTTTTTATCTCACAATGCTGACTTCTTCCTCACAATTTTCAGAAAAAAAGTCTGTATTGCAAGATATAATCTCAGAATTGTAACTTTTTCTTCTCCGAATTGTGAATTTACATCTCGCAATTTTGTTTCCACCACAGAATAAGTAGTAAAAATAGGTAATTGTGACATTTTATCTCAGTTTCAACTTTTTTCTTTTAATTGAGTTTATATCTTACAATTCCGTCTTTTCATCTTGTAATTCCGACTATCTCATAATTCTAAGTTTATATCTCGCAATTCCAACTGTCTGTTTTGTAATTACGACTTTCTATCCCATAATTCCAACTTTCTATCTCGTAATTCTAACTTTCTATCATACAATTCCAAGTTTGTATCTTGCCATTCCAACTTTATATCTCATAATTTCAAGTTGATATCTCAGAATTCTGACTTTCTATCTCGTAATTCCGAGTTTGTATCTCACAATTCTGAGTTTATATCTTGCAATTCCAAGTTTGTCTCTTGCAATTCCGACTTTCTGTGACATAATTCTGAGTTTAAATCTTGCAATTTTGACTTTCACAATTCTGACTTTCTATTAGGGCTGTGCGATTAATCGAAATCATCATAAAATCGCGATTTGAGCGTGCGCGATTTCTAAATCGCTTTATAGCACGATTTTCCGCGCCCCCAACCTCCCGCAGTATGCTATCCGAACCAATCAGAATGCAGCGCGCCTAAATGGAGCACGAGAACAGAACAGACCGGGCGGGCATACAAACGTAACGCCAGGTTCACACACTCCGTCTGTGGTGTGTATTTTTTCCGCGCCCATGTTAACGGATCAGAGCGTTCACACTGCACGCGATTGCAGTCCGGCAGTGCGCTCCAGGAGCGGTGCGTCTGCAGCAGTGCAGCGATCGTTTCCGCACTGAGTCTATTTCTGCTGTGCTCTGCACGTGCTGAATTAAAGTGACAGCACATTATTCGCGGTAAAAATTAACATGGATTGACACGCTGCTTCTGCACCGCATACACATACTGTATACGCACTGCAGACGGAGTACGTGTGAACTTGGCGCAACAAATCTAGTTCAACATCTGATGCAACGTCACAAAGAGCTCTTTGACCAAAGCATGGCAAAAAAAAAAAAATCCCTGGACACGGGATTTTTTGTTTTGTTTTTTTGCCATAGAGACATTTTGTTACACCTTTACTTAGTGATTATTTTGCCTTATGTCACATGTTATAGCTTTTTGATAAAGCTCTAATTGGTTTTCTTTTGGAAATATGTTTCAAATTCACACTGAATGCATTTATGACTGTAAAGCATGTCTGTGTGTGTCAAAATCGTGATTAAAATCGTAATCGCAAAATTGATCAAAGAAATCGCGATTTTTTTGCCCATATCGCACAGCCCTACTTTCTATCTTGTAATTCTTGGGGGAAAAGTCCAGACTGTGAGATAAGATTTTGCAATTATCTTTTTACTTTTATGTCATTGCAGAAACAAGCTTCCATAATGTTAATGCTCACACTTCATGTGAAAGAGAAAATCACTAAATCTCTAGAGAACTGAACTGTATTTTAGCACGATCAAGCCAGCATCTCCGGTCAAAAGATCATATTTTGCTAATTTCTTTCCCCAAAGTCTGTTTTGCATTCTAGATTATTATTATTACTGCCACTTCTGTTATTTTGAACATTCATTAGCTCTTTTTTTTTTAGTTTCTTTCTCTTCTGATGTATTTATTTCAACCTTTTCTTTTCATTGGCATATTAATATATATTTATGAGACATTCCTTTTCATTAAGAACAAAAGTTAGAGTAAACTTACTCGTAGTTAAAAGAGTGATTAAAACAATGAGGACACAAGTGTGAAAAATCATGTTTACTATAGTGGTGACATTTTCTGACACACAAACAGTAGGTTTTTAATACTTTCTGATTTATTTGTTAACTTACCATCCCTGTTTCTCATTGAAACCTCACTAAAGTCCAATAAATCACGTTGTATGAATCTTAAATGACAATCAAAACATCCTGAATCAAAAGCAATACATCACTAACTGTGATGGCCATTTTTACCAGCACTTGTAAAGAATCAATTCTAATATATAGATTATATAAGTTCAACTGTGAAACTGTACTGTGGCAAATTTGGGACCTAACTTTTTATTTTTTTTTTAGAACTTTTTAAAATAAAATCCTTCGTTTTAGATTTTAATACTGGTCACTGATTTAGCAGAGCAATTTTTTTATATATATACATAAATAATAATTAGCTCACCAAAAGCTTAAACTGTGAATAGATTTTTTTTTCATTTCATGAAATATGTTTGTATTTGTTATTTACTGGTTTTTAATCATGTTTTGTGCCACTGAATGCTTTTGTACAGATCTTTAGAATCTCTTTATCGTGCCTTTTCTAGAGCCGTGAGGCCTTACGATACAAATGAACTCAAAGCATAATTCAGACAATCCGATTTTATATAAATAGTTTTGTAAAAAAATAAACCCTGGGTTTTAGTTCAGTGAATAAGCATTAAGGGCATTACAGACCAAGAGCAAGCTCTGTTTTATATTCAAGACTCAGTATTAAACACAGTAGAGCATTAGAGACTCTATTTTTTACACATAAAGTAGTTTCATACAGTACTTTTAATACGACCAGCTAAGAAATTAGGTCTATAAACAAAATGAATTATGTGTAAAGTTTTATGTTTATGTGTAAAGAATGTCACATAACCCTGTAGATTTTATTTTTCTATGTTTGATATCGGCCAATGAATGGAGCACCCAGTAGAAGTGACTTTGCGATCTTGTATTTTATTCCCCTTTATATAGTTTGTTTCTTCTCGATTGTAAGCTGTGTTTCTGTGTCAGAAAGCGTCTGTGCTGCACAAATGTTCACTATTACTCTTCACCTCTCTGGAAAACGGAGGTTTTGTCTTATTTCTGGTTCTTTTGATTCTCCTGGGGGAAATATATACGTATGACAGAAAGCTTTTGTATTGCTTGGCCACTGAACAACGTTACCATATAAACTGTCCCAGTATTTGTCTCCACCGTTGTATTACTGTACCAGAGTTCAATAAACAAACATAAAACGAACAGACCGACTCAGTCTTGATGACTTAACAAAAAAACTCCTTTTGAGCTTTTTAATGATGATTATTTATAGTTTCAGACTGCGTGCACTATAGTAAAAGATTTTTCAAAGATCATCAGAGTAAGTTTGACGAGAAAATGCAATATCAATCTTTCGGCTTTTCACATTTAATTCAACGTTTCTTTGTAACTGTGAAATTTACTATCAATTACTGAGTGAAAACGAAAGCAATTTTTTTTTCAGCGCAGGTACGTCAAATGCATGATTGGTTGAAGGTTGCACAGTGGTGTTGAATAAATGCGAGACGGTGAATGGCTGAGTATTGGTTTTATTCTAGCATCGAGCCCATCGTGTGTTCAGATCTAACAGAGCAGAATGACAATAACCCACTGACCTGCAGGCAAACATGCTCATCATATTCATACCGCCAGCTGATGTCCTTGTTAACTGTGACGTGTATAAGACACAATGCTGTCAGAGGTTAATATACAATATAGTACGCTGTATCCCTGCACATTTCCTTTTACAATTTTTACTCTTCTCACCGCACACGTAAAATATTTTCACAGTGATTTTTTTCTGTACATAGTTTCCATATAATAATACACATCGCCCTTCAAATGATTTCACCCCACGTTCGTGATGTGCCCCTATTATTTCTTAAACTGCATTCGAGAAGATTTTCTGCCGTGAATCTGGAAAGTCGATTTCTTGACTTCCATCATCAAAACATGAAACTCTCTGAACGCTATCCAGCACTGTATTATTATACAATCAGACCGATGTTTGATGAACGCTGTACATCTTTTAAAATAAGTGACCTATGAATGAATTATCAGCCGTATCCCACACGAACCAACCAAGACCCTCTATAAACATGCTAAAAGTGAGCTTGTGGGAAATCTGCGAATCTTCCGATTTGGCAACGTGGAGTCTGTATAAATACACATTTACAGTGACGAGCAGCGTCTGCATTCAGACACCAGACTGGATTCTCTTTGATGGAGTGAAAACCATTTGGATCATCGTGACATTATATTGCATACTGAGCGAGTAAAGCTACTTTAACACACGTCATTGATGCAGAACAACACCTTTGCATACCTTTGTTTCATTAAATAAAGAGCGAGTGATGTGTCTGTACACGAACGAAGAAAAACACCAGTACGGATGCTTTTTCCTCCTCTTATGATTCATTTCGGTAAGCACATCAACTTATCTGATGGTCTTTGTCTTAAATGAGCAAATTCAAGTTTTGCTTATTTATATTTCGAAATGATTCCCCACACACACATACACATACATGTAGAAGGTCGATTTGCTAAATCTGAAGCTTGTTTACACACCATGATGTAAATGGCTTTTAAATGAGAGCCGATTCGTATTGCACAAGATGTTTTTGGGGAAGTATTTCACTTTGAACGCAATCATGTGTTCACACTGAAGTGAAGGTACAATTACGATGTCTAGCAGAAATACTCAAGACCCTTAACCAAGACTTGCATTTCACAAACGAGAATAAATCCTACACCCAACGTTTGTTCTCCGACTGCGTACAGCAAAGCGAAGCCACATTTCGGCACACAAGCGTTTTAATGTGGCACATTGAAATAGAGTTTCACTCAAACTAAAGCGTCAAACGTTGAGAGTAGGATGTGCTGCGGTAAATGCAGTGAAATGAGAGTTGGTGAAGGGCCGTGTGTTTCGTGTGAGGCGCTGTATGTACACCAAATGGTGGCCGGACCGTCTTGTGTTCCCAACAGGCCGCTCACCATCAGTCGACATACATGGGCGAGCCGGGAGACGCCGGCATTTCTTCCAGAATCCTGCACACGTAACTGGCCACGTCCACGATCCGCTCCTCGTACATCAGGATGAATGGATGCTTCTGCAGGAACAGCACAATTACAGCAACACAAACACGTTCAGGGCATGAACCAAGATTTCAGTTCTAGCTGATACACATCATTATTTTCATGCTATAGTGAATAACCAATAAATGGCTGATATTAAAATGCTACACTATTTTGTCAAGTCACCTTTATTTCTTCAGTGCTTTATACAATACTGATTGTTTCAAAGAAGCCTCAAATTAGTAAGCATGGTTAATCTTGCAAAATGTAATTTATAATAACATCTATTAATATTAATGCTACGTATTTGATCAAATTATTAGAATTATTTGTAATAATAATAGCGTAAAATAACAACAATGATAATAATAATAATAAAAACAAGATGTATTGTTTTCTAAGTATTATTATACCAAAATATTATTATTGGTATGTATAATAATAGTATTATAATTACGTTTTATTACGTTTTCAATTCTGCTGTAATTCAGATCTGCGAAATGAAAAGGTTTTAGTTTAAGATTTGCTTTTATCAGTGTTATGTGTTTTTGAAGATGAATTTTAAGTGAGCAGCAAAGGTCAACTACATGTAAAATAGGGATTTTGTACATTAGCATGTATAATTAAATATCCAATATAACTGATATCAATCCATTAAAACTTTATTACCGACCAATAACCAATATGTTAGTGGTCCAATATTGCATTTCTAAAAAATTAAGGTTAATTAAAAACATAAAAATATAATTGTACAAGACAGACATCCATTTTTCAATTAAAATCTTTTCAAGTAAAATCAATAAGTTCAAAAGCTGTAGTACAAAGACACGGCTTCACGGGGCTTATTGCTTTTATAAAACGGTTATTCCATATACGTAGTAAGGTTTCATACGGTGCTTATTGCTTTAATGATGTATAGTTATATGTTTTAAAAATGTTATAACAAATATCATTATTAGTAGTAGTATTTTTAATAATAAATTCAACTAAGTATGTATCATGTTTTATAAATTTTATTTAAATATCTAAAATCGACCACTAACCAATATAGTACTCATCTAATATCGCATCCCTAAAAATTAAGACTAATAAAACCATAAAAATATAACTATACAAGTCAGACGTGCATTTTGAATTCAACTCTTTTCAAGTAAAATCAGTAAGTTCAAAGGCTGTAGTTCAAACAAACACAGGTTTGACGTACCAGCAGTTCTCTGTACTTTGGCCTTTTTGACTCGTCCTTTGTAAGGCTGGAACACACATGATCAAACAAAGACGCGTCACATGACTGCATAGCAAAGAAACATGCTTTTTTTACACTCATATCCTTCAAAGCACAGGAAAACAGCTCAGCCACATGTGAACCCACCATAGATTGACAAACTGGATGAATTTGGGTGAAAACTGTCTCTCCTCGGAGTTGCTGAGCTGCGGCGGGTCTCCCTTCACCACCTGTGTCAGCTGATCAAACACACTGTTCCATTTGGGGTACGGGAAGCGTCCCGTCGCCAGCTCGTACTGCAACACAAAGACATTCACACCGTTAAAGCAGAGGAGCCAGTGCTTTAGTACTACAGCCGTTGAATTAACAGGTTAATTAGGTGCAAATATTATGAAAAAAATAGTGTTAAAATGATGAAGTCTTTTAAAGCAGTGCCCCATCCAGACCTGTCCATCATCTTACACTGATGCAGTTCTTGATGAACACAATGCAGGACAACTGACTGCGTGATGGAGTCTATTAGAATGCAGTTATATGAGCCTAAAATGTATAAAAAATAAATTACGCTCTTAAATTTATATCATATGATCTAGTTTAGCAATATCACACCAGCAAGAGTGCTGTTTCTCCCCAATATCTGCACCACTGCTAATGTGATAATGATTTATACCAGTGTTTCCCAACTGGGGTGCCGTCTGTCGAGAGCAGGGGTGCCGTGTAAAAAAATTATTTTTTTATATTTTTAAATAGCTAAAATGTTCAAAAAAGCATCTATTATATAATATCCATTTCTGATGTCGCCAATAATTAGAGATGCACCGAAATTCC